GCGGCTGGGGTGGTTTCTTTCTTTCATGGGCTTTGACTACTTTCCAAACTGTTTATGGGTGTGTGACAATAAAGTTTAATTTTAGCTTTTTCAATCATTTAGTAGTTTTGAGAGTTCTATAGGTGTTTTGTTCTGGTTTGTGGTGTTGGTGCAGTAAAAATGGCTAAAAAAAAAACTGCCAGGGGTATATAAACTTAAAAGCACGACTGTATTCCAATTTGAGAATTCTTTCCATATTGGCTGTCTGTACATCAAGCCATGTAACTCCTTTCTGCAGAGCAGCTGAAACTTTGGTGTAAGGCCTAGCGCTAACTTCTTGCTTTTGACTGACTGAGTAGGTTCTCTGTGCAAGTCATTCAAGATTGCTTTAGCTTATTGCTGTTATTTTATGGTAACTGAGTCTTATACGTTTCTGTAGTTCAGCCCGGTGGTTAAAGGTACCCTGCGGTACTTGGTGTCTACGGGGGGAGATGCAACCGTCTGCCTGTGGCAATGGGACGTGGACACCTTGCAGTTCAAGTGAGTAAGAAATTCAATTTTTCGAATTTTACAAGTTACTTTGTGGAAATATTTTGTAAATGTAAAATTCTACATCCGTTATACAGAGAATTCTGTGGTAGTGTTTTCTGTTTTGGGCTTCAAATTAGGTTTGCTTTAGAACATTACTTCCTCCTGGGTTCCCAGACCAGGAAGACATTGTTTTTAAAAGAAAACTATAATTCATATGGGTCCTTTTTTTTATATTCTATATTTTTTTTAAACAGATATTTTCTGTTTGTTTTACTATATGTATACATTCTTTGTTTTGTGTTTAATGTCTGTGTATCATGCGTTGGCAGATTACCTTTTACACTACTGAAACACAATGCCAAAAGTGCCATTTTAACATCGGCACATCCCTGCTTTCTTTCCTCCCCGCTGGGCGCTGCTCTGTGTTCTAGCGGGGAGAATAGAAAGTGTGACAGCTGGCCGAGCGCAGCGGGAGGAGAGCGCTGTGAGCCGCCGGCGTCTCTCCTCCCACACTGCTCAGCCTTTTATCGCAGAGCGGTGTGGGGGAAGCCCGCGCTGTCACAGGAGGCTGAGCTCTCCTCCTGCTCCGCTCGCTCAGCCTCCTGTGACAGTGTGTCAGGAAGGAGAGCAGTACAAGCAGTCAGTGATCAGTGATAGCTGAGTGTTTGTACATAACAAGAGGACATGGTATGTGTACTATATCCTCAATTATGAATGAATGGGAAGTAATCTACATCTCCTCCTGTGCAATCCTGATTGTGGTTATAGTAAACATACTCTGTCCTCATGTTATCAATGAACCGGAACACTCAGTATAGAGGATTCCTGTTCATTTATAACAGGGGCTGCAGAAAAAGAGATTGAGGACCTTGTGTCCTCAATCTCTTTTCCTATTTTAAAAGGGAAATATCAGGAGTCTGTTTAGATCACTAATATTTCCCCGATGCCCCTAAAAGTAAAGTAAAAAATAAAAATATTTAATAAAAAAAATACTTTGTTGTTCCTGCAGTGTTGGTAAGCGATGGTAGCCAAAAGCACCGTGTCGTGATAAACTTTTGTACTTTTAACTCTCCGACTGCCAAGGCCTGCATGGCAATACACAGTTGAATAAGCTCATGGCTGTATTTGGAGCAGCTGGGAGCATCTGAAATTCAACAGGCTCTGCACTGATGTAGAAGTGTTATGGGGGATATAGTAAATCTAGTTAGAGGAATACAAGCAAATAATAAAAAGGGACAGCCAACTCATAAAGGAACCAGCAACAACAAATGCATATGGACTATAATAGAGAAACTTAAATAATATAATTCATTTTAGCTCTTTTTATATATTAATAGGTAATAATGCATACGACCATATAAGAACGATAAGGAGAAAGGTGGAGAAACGTCCTTGTCTGGGAGGGAGGTAAGGGTTTGGGGGGAATAGGTGGGACACAAGGAAAGGACAAAACCTTAAGGTGGGTATAGGTAAACACATTTTAGAGTAAATAGTTGGTTAGTATAAGGGGTGTGTAGGAATTTTTTATTTATTTTTTTGATTTAAAAAAAAAAAAACTAAGTAAAGATAAGGTAATACACCACTAATAGAGGGAGGGGGAAGGGTAGAATAGGACCCACAATAATATTTTGACTTTATGAATTATAGACTCGTAACACGGAATAGTACACAAAGATTAAATACACAAATAACGTAAGGAACAAAAATGACAACACAAGATTTAATGGGTAGATTCACATATGGGAACGATGGAGAGTAATTTTGGGACAAAATGGAAGACGAAAATCACAAACACACATAAAGTAGACCTCCCCTCCCCCCAGATAAGCATATGAGTTAGGGTTGTAAGGTGAGAAGTGAGTAGAAGGGGGAAAGATCAGAATGAATGAGGAAGGGGAAAGAGATGGAACGGGTAATGTTTGTTATTGAAAGTAATGTTATAGACATTTGTAATTTTAGAATGTGTTTTATTTATGCTTTTGAAATAACAAACAGATGTTTATTAGTTTTATGAAATTGGTGTAATTGTGTGGATAATGAATCAATAATAACAATAAAAATATATTAAACCAAAAAAAATCTAGTTTTGAAAGACCATCTACCCCACGCACACCCAGGACACTTTGTAAATTGCCTTTTGCGCAACCCATTTTGGGTATCCCTGTGTACATCATTGAAAGGGAAAATTCTAGGGCCATCATTTACAGTTGACTCTAAAATGATGGGTTGTAAAGGGTTCATCCAGGTTCAGTTTTGGGCATCTTATACAGTTTGTTGTTTTAAGAGATTTGTCATACCCCTTTGTGTCTAGCCAGTGCAGGGATAGATTTATGGAAGAAGCCTGCCGACTTCAGTCTTTTTAGGTTTCCTGAACAGTATAGAGGGGTCACTCCTGGGATAATACTGATAGAAACTGTTGGGCAAAGTCAGCTCTTGCCTCTTCTACTAAAGGTCTTTGGATACTCTAAAAGTGCCCATACACCTGCCGATTATCGTACGATAATCCGGGTGATCCCGCGATCGTACGATAATCGGCAGGTGTATGGGCAGCGTGCGACCTCTTCTACTGTAAGGTCGCACGACATTAGTCTTCCAAGCACGCTGGAAAACCTGCCGAAAATCGTACAATTTTCGGCGGGTTAGAGGCATGCTCGGGAGACTAATGCCGCACGGGCCGGTGTGCGGAAGCGCACACTGCCCGCTCAGCACTGCAATCATCGCAAGCCCTCCCCTCAGCGGGGAGGGCTTGCGATGATTGCCAGTGCGATCTGCCTGTCCAAGATGGGAAGATCGTACGAAATTTTAATTACTTTACAACCATCGCACAACGGAATTCGTGCGATGGTCGTAAAGTGTATGGCCAGCTTTACAGAGATCTCACTTCTATTATTCCCAACTCTGTTTCTATGCACCTGAAAGTTTTTGGGTGCCCCCACCCACCTTTTGTGTATTCCAACTTAGTTGCATTCTGCATAGCAGTAAGTAAATTAAATCTAATAGGGTTGGCGAGAACCTCCTCATGGCCCACAGTAGCTTAGGAGACTCATGCCGGGGGAGATCTTGGAATAGGGGTGAGATACTGCTAGGATTTTTAACCATCCAATATCTAACAAAAATTCAGGTACTGGCTTTGGGTCAACCAAACAGAACGTTGGGGCCAAGACTAAAGCATGGTCACTGACGGGCCGGATCATTTTTCCTTCAATTTTTGTATTCTAATAAGTCATGCAAAGACAGTTGAGAACATATGATGTGTTGGTTGCTTTGTGTTCATTATCATTCTTCACTCTTTCTACTTGCACTATGTAAGTTCTGGATGCAAACCGTGTTTTGTGTTATAGGTGGAATGTTTATGGCTGTTGGTGGCAGTGACCACGCTATCAGAATGTATTATTTTGGCAACGAAACACCAGAGAAAGTGTCTGAGTTGGAGGGCCACACAGTGAGTATTGGTCATCTGTTTTTAATTGTATTAGACATGCCAAAAAAAATGTGGATTGATTGCTCAGTTGCAATTGTTTGTTTAGGGACCAGAACAACCATGTGGCCATACAAAAAAACATAGAAAAGACAACATCTTAGTCTTGCCTGTCTCATATCTGGTCCTCATTTCTTCGCTCTGTTAAAAAACTAGTCTCCATCAAATTGTACACTGCGTGTTCTCTCCTTGCACAGTAAACAGTAGTGACCTAGTGTACAGCAGATAGAACCACGATGTGCTGTGGGACACTAGGCATGTCAGATTTTTGTAGGTTCTACTGGAGGTCATAGCTCTTGAACGTGAGAGTGAAGATCCAAGTAACGGTCGGTATAGTGACTGAGAATATAATTGGGTGTTTTTTCTTGTCCATTGAGGGACACGGGAATATCATTTTTGGACTGTTGGGTTGTATGGCCATCTACACAAAAATTGGCGTGAATTTCGGAGCACCACCCCCCCC